AGCTTATGAACTTTGTGCGAAACAAAGCGTGGTACGCGAGGATGTACGCCACACTAAACGAGCGAGCGTATTCCGCACCTCCGCAAGCACCCGTAAGCGGGGGCGATGCCGATGTTCCAAGCGCGAGCAGGAGCAGTCCGTTATGAACGACTCTTCTTCCACGGCATGGACGTCCGTGCATGCCAAGTCGGCAGTGTTGTGATCTCTCTTGCGTCGCTCGCGCTTACGGTGGAATGAAGTGCATAACTCGCTCTAAACAGGCGTCTTTTTGCAGTCTGGTGAGCTTTATACAGAGCCCCTACATCGCATAACCTTGCGGCTCCCGTTGGGTTGAAATCTCTCCGACCGATTCGGTGAAGCAAGATCGTTCTCTGAGGCTCATTTTCCGTTGCAGAGGGAACACTGAAAGTCACTCCGGCCGACTTTTCCACAGGCGCGGCAGCCCGTAAGCTGCGGCGTTGCGGCGTAGTAACAGCTTGGGAAAGTAGTGGCGATCAGAAGTCCCAAACCGAAAGCAGGATGTCACCAGACGACTGACTAAGAGTGTGCACGGCGGCTTGTTCAAAGAATGGCGCCACTTTTCCCAGGATCGAGGGGCTGCATCCACATCCCTTCTGCCATCTGTCGGAGCTTGCAGAAAGTGTTTCCTAGCCAGTTTCCGCAGCCAGTACGGCTACAGTCACCCTCCCGTGGCGACGTTGCGAACTTTGTTTAGTCCTAACCAGTCAGAGGTCAGCGCATGCAACAGAGCACTCATGCTACCGCAATAAAAGCATTCATAGTTTTGCCAAAGCACAATTCGATAATTAGATAATAATCTCTCACCTTAATGCTTGATGGTATTGCCACCTTAGCAGCATTTGATGCGGTTTCTTGGTCAGTTAGTAGGAAAGTGCACTGGCTGTCTTCCATCGTGTACACCAATTCCCCTATGAGAACGACATCATAATAAGTTTTCTTTATCTTATTAAAAATGCTATAATTATAATGTTGAAAAAAACGAAGGCGTTCCGAGCACTCACTTGCAACGGAGGTCGTCTTCGCCATGACAAGCGTACCGCCCGCGAACATGACACCAAACGCTGCCGCTACTGCTTCAACTGCGTTGCCAATATACGCACACACCCTGGAGCCCGGTTTTACACCGTGTTCTTGGTAACCTACAGCGTATTTGCGTATCTTTTCCAACAGCTGCTGGGCAGTCAAGCTTTGATGGGTGTCAACCTAAAAGAAAAAGAAAGTAAACTGTTTTGAAAAATATAGGGATTTTGACTGGTTTCCTGGTGCTGAAGGAAAGCTATTTTTAATTAATTTGGCTCCTCCCTTTTCAGAAATAACTTTACGACAAAAAATCTGTACGTGTATTAACACATTCATGCAAACTGAGTGCTACAAGTATATGGCGGCGTAAAGTAACTATGGTTCCTACTGGTAACTTTTAACCTTTATATCATTATTTATTATGCTAATTAGCTCGAATAAAAAATTATTTGTGAGAAGTTTCGAGTATCAGAAATCAACGCAGGCCCAAATGTCCAGAGCAATTACGGAACAGGCTGCTGATGAAAAGCCAGAAAATGCGCTCATATATTCAGAGTGGCGGAGCTACGCTTCCGCTACATTTGAGAATAAACTCAGCGCTGTGCGGTGCGCGATGTATTTTGTAATGAGCTAAACTCTAATATATTTTTCTTCTCAAAATTCCCCTAGTAATCAATGAATTTGATTTCTCCACGTCTCCTAATCCTGTTTTATTTTTGTTTGTTTTTTTTATTGAAACTTGAATTTTTATTTTTATAAGGTATCAGGTTACTTTTGGTTACTTTATTAGTGCCACTGAATTAGTGCTGCTGAGTCTCACCGAGATTTCAGTAACAAATTAATAGACGAAGTGTTATGTTCTTTGACCGGCGCGGCATGAGATACTTGCAAAACAGGTACGTGTTCTCATTTATGTCAGATAGGCACAAGGTCGAAATGGTTCGTCTTAGCTCGGTGGTATTGGTCGCAATGCAATACCGTAGGTAAATCTTGAAAATCCGCTCACCGCACAATAATGAAAAACGAAATAAAAACCAGATTAATTCAGTAGCCTCGGATCACGATAACAACAGCGCAGGATACTCGATATATCCAGTGCCATACGCTTTCTGATTGCAACGCAGTGAATATAAATGAAGTCATACTCACAATAATTATCTTGGACGATAATTTCATCAGTCGCTCTTCTACAAGTTGGGAAGCGTAGCTATTTCCAACGTCGAAGTCCGCGAGAGTTGAGTGTATCACTCCGTTCACAATCCTGGCGGCCATATTCGGGCGGTTTCTTTTTAACGGTGTAAAAAGGACAGATTAATACACACTCTTTTCTAATAATAAAACTTTACAAAAAGTATGATGTGGTTCATTAAGGCGAGGGGCATTTAATTTTCAATAGCTCTCTTTGTAACTTTACTCTGACAAAGTGAAACCACCCCCAAGACAGAAATGGCCATTCCTGTTTTTTAAGTTATATGAATTCATGGGAGAAAACGATATACAAAATAAAACTGTGCTAGTTAAGGAGAGCTGTGGTTTTTTTTATTTTTTTTAGAGAAAACACATTTTTTGGACGTTTTCGAGGGAGTTAAGCGCAACGTACTCCACTCTGGTTCGAAGCCCCTTTTACGCCAGTGTAAAACTGACCGCTAACTGGAACATTCGACAACATTCGTGGCCGTCCTAAACGGCATGCGAGCACACCTCTCTCACGCGCACAGCAGCGCAGTGCTCATATATGTAAGGTACGCACATGTCGTACGTTACGTAACCACCAATTGTTGTTAAAATAACAGCAATTACCAAATTTCGGGGGTGCTTGGACTATACGATAAGCATATCACGTGGAATAAGCTTCTGCTGGTTACGTATTCATTTTAATTTTCTTTCGAGTTTTTTTCATCCGTCTAGTCACGTGTGTAAGTCATAACGGGAGACTAAAAGTGCACTCTCAGAGTAATTTCTAACACAACCTTTGCCCAAACCCGGTTTTTAGATCAAGGCAAGCAATGTCATATCGCGGTTTACACCGACCTTTAGGCTTCCAATATGAAACCTGTGATGTTTCCGAAGGACGGACGGAAAACAACCTTTATTCTGCACTATACATCAAATATATACACAAAGGAAGGACGCGCCCCCTGGGGGTGAAAGAACACAAATGAATACCGAAACTGAATATGACATACTTCCTCCCTTATTCGCAGTGATTAGTTGCTAGTAAGTGTTAGATATCCCTAAGCATGCACTGTACATATTTACACACTACATAACCACTGCTATACACATAGACAACTAGTCGGTCTGATAGTCTTTGAGCCAGGCCGGTCGTCGGCGCTCTCGGGACGGGCGATGGGGACGCTGCATGGCTGGGGATGGTAGTGAGCTTGTAGAGCGCTGCGGTACCCCAGGGGACCGCGGTTGCGGCCCAGGAGAAGGCGGCTGCAGCATGGCAGGCTCCAGTCCAGGCAGCTGCGGATCAGGAACGGGCGACTGCGGTGCGGCAGACTGCAGTTCGCCAGGAGGCGGCGGCTGCGACCCGGGAGAAGGCGGCGGCGGCAGGTCAGGCTGCGACACTCGAACCGGAAGCTGCGGCGCAGGTGGCTCTGAACGTTGGGACGATGGACTCGTGCCCCTCTCTGGAACCCTGGAAAGCTTGGAGGCATTCCATGTGCGGCCATCTCCAAGTCTGAAAGAGACAGGTCCCCTCTTCGCCAACACTTCAGTTGACGAAGAAAAGGCGCGATCTCCCTTGAAGCGAACTGACGGCTTCTTGACACGAACGAAATCGCCCACTGCTATTTTCGGCTCCTTAGCAGCTCTCCTCCGGTCCGTGTACTCCTTGCTGCTTTGCTGTTGAAGCCGGACTCTTTGACGCAGTCGCGCCAGTTCCTTTGCTGGGTCTTTTGAGAACGCTGGTGCCGAAAACCCTACAACATCCAACCTGGTTCGGGGCATCCGCCCATGCAGCAGAACTGCTGGGGCAACCCCAGTGGTAGCCTGTGGAGTACAGCGGTAAATAGCAAGGTAGTCAGTGACTGCTTGTCGGATAGGTCGCCTTTCCAGGAGTGAAACTTGGATGAAGTTCTTCAAAGTTCGATTAAGCCTTTCGACTTGCCCGTTCGCCTGGGGGTAGTATACCGATGAGTGCGACAGCTTGATGGCTCGGTTTTGAAGAAAGGTTATAAATTCACGTGAAGTGAACTGCGGCCCATTGTCGCGAACAATCTCCTCCGGGTATCCTTCACGGGCAAAGACACTGGTTAAGAATTCTTTTACGGTGCTTGTGGTCCCTTCGCTGCAAAAATATACCTCTGGCCACTTGGAATGGTAATCGACCAATGTTATAGCAAATCGGTTATTGCGAGGTGTATGCTCCAATGGGCCAACAATGTCTAGGCCCAGTTTCTGCCAGGGTCTTTCAGGCCACTCAACAGGCTGCAATGGCACTGGCGATGTTTTGGCAGACTTATCTGCCTCCAGGCAGATGTGGCAGTTTTTCACGGCCGATTCCACTTGCTTGTCCATTCGTGGCCACCAGAATAGCTCACGAAGTCGCGCCTTTGTGCGCGTGATGCCCGGATGTGTCTCATGGGCAACTGCAATGAACTGAGCTGTGAGGGAGGACGGAACAACGAGGCGCTCTGCGCGCAGCAGCAGGTCATCAACAATAGAAAGCTCTTCGCGTACTGAGTAGAAAGGTTTTGCCTCCTCTGGTACGGACTTTTGTGGTGGCCAAGAGCCGCACACGAACGACTTAACGGTTTGCAGGCAATCGTCGTTGAGGACGGCTTGCTTGAATTCTTCCTTCGTCATGGAGGCCGGCTCGACCAACGAGACGTTTTCTTCCTTGGAAAGTTCTGCCTCGGACGTAGGAGCTGGTAACCGAGAAAGAGCATCGGCCACAGTGTTGGTGGAACCCTGAATTCGAAGGTTTAGAGCCTTAATGCCGTCGAGGCCAATCAGACAGGTGCCTTGGCGAACGATGTAGAAAAGTGGTGCAGAGCGCCCTTTAAATTGAACGTCTGCCTGAAAACACCCTAGCACGGAAATTGGACGCTTAGAAAAATCAAGCAAGGTGACGTGCGGAGCTGGAAGGAGCAAAACGCTCTCAAAATGTCGACGAAATGCATGTTCAGACAGAATCGAAACAGACGACCCCGAGTCAACAAGAAATGTCAAGCTGACATCCGCTACGCCCACTTGTATGTATATTGCTCTGCGAGCAGAATGCTGCACGGTCAAAACTTGCTCAGAACTTCCACTTGACAAAACATCGTCATCAAAATCAACTTCACGAACCCTGCCTTGCGTTTGTCGCTTGCGGTTGCATACTTTCTGAAAGTGGCCCTTGACGCCGCAAAACGAACATTTCTTTCCCTGCGCTGGGCACTGTGACGCTGATGCGCGGTGGTTCCGCGAGCCGCACCGAAAACAGTGAGGTGAAACGGACCGGCTATCTCTGTCTCGCCGAGGGGGGCGGTGCCCCTGCGACGCACGTGAACCGCTCTCTTTCCTTGAAAAGTTCTGCTGACAATGCTCTTTTGGCTGTGAACTGGTTTTTCGCGAAGAATGCGGACGACGCACAGAAACAGGCTCGACTGAAGCAGAGAATTCCTTTAGTTCTTCAGCTGCTTGCTCAAACTGAAGAGCGATTCGTACTGCGCTCTCGAACGACAGGGAGGAACCCTCGAGTAGGAACCGTTCACGTACGCGATTAGAAGCAACGCCGGCAACAAATTGGTCACGGAGAGCCTCATCTTGTGAATTGAACGAACAATGCGAAACGAGCTGCCGTAAAGCAGCAACAAAGTCATGAACGGACTCGCCTGCGTGTTGGTTGCGGCGGTGGAAACGATGACGCTCGACGATTACGTTGCACGATGTCGAAAACTGCTTCCGTAAGGCGGCGAGTGCAGACGCGTACACGTCAGTAGTGGCCGCGGTAGGCTTATCTTGAACTGCCGGTGCTGCGGCGCTTGACCCTGCAGGTAAAGTCCGGAAAACACGCTGCCCGCAGTGGCGTACCAACTTGTTTTTGAGTGGGGGGGCAAACCAGACCCTCTCCCCCCCCCCCCCCAGATCGAAAATTCGGCGCAACTTTTGTCCAAGTTTTCTAAAGATTTGGCAATGATTCGGCAAAATTACAACGTTACCAGACTTAACATTGATATTTCGTTTTTTCTAACGAAAAAAAATTTGCTTCTTCTTCTTAAAATAAATACAACTTGTAGTGCCTATTGAAAGAGTTATGACTAAATAAGGTGATATTCTAGAAGATAATTGTATCGATGTCGCTTTTGTGTGTTTACTTGTAATTTTGGTGTATGCTTCCAGAAAGTGGCGTGACAACGAGGTTGGGTAGTAGCCGGCACAGTCACGAACCACACTACGAGAGCTTTGATTTTGAGGTTTCATCAGTGCACGCCTGCAAGTGTGTTTACATTGTTAAAATAAAGGCAATCACTGCGTTCTTACTTTCTCTGGTAGTCGCCGTTTCGTGCGCGAAAACGGATTCAACGGTTGCTGAGCCTTCACCAGAAGAGATAACAATATTGTAAATATGCATGTTTTTCGATTTGAGTCACTTGACGTCAGCTTTGCATGAAAGTGCGCGTTCCATATTCGCAACGTGCCGTTTTTAACCTTTAAAATTCCGGTTTCTGGTGTTCGGACACACACGGACGTTTAGGAAGATGGGGAGAGTTAGGAATGGTCGGATGTGCAACGTCGACCATGATAGTTCTGTGTTTAACAAATATTTTTCATCAGTGTTTACTAACGAGTGCTTGGACTCCGTCCCCAATCTCCCTGAAGAGCTTTACGAGCGCATGCATCCTATTAACGTTAACTCCGCCGGTATTATAACATTGATTGATAAACTAAAACTTACTTCGTCCGCTGGAACCGATAACATCAACTCTAAAATTTAAAAGAAACACCAGTGTTATTTCGAGTGAGTATTTAAAACTTATCTTTATTCAGTCCTTATCTCAAAGGTGCCTTCCATCTGACCAAAAGGTGGGAAGGGTAATTCCCAGGCTTTAAACAGGGCAGCCGCTCTTCCGCATCTAATTATCGCCCTAATTCATTGACTTCAATTTCTTGCAAACTACTTGAGCATATCCTCTACTCCAATATCATGAGGCACCTATCATCCCATTTCTTTTCTTTAAACAGCAGCACGGTTTTCAAAAAAGGTACACTCTCCGGCAATATGAAAGACCCACTGGGAGCGCGTGGCCGAGGCGGTGGCTGGCGGGGGCGCTGCGAGCCCTCCGGGCAATTCCATTCTGCTTCGAGGGGAGGACGCTCACTCGGGCTCAGATAAAGCGAAACGCGCTTATCAGTTTGTGCCGAGTGCCGAATGAGCGTCCTCCCCTCGAAGCAGAATGGAACTGCCCGGAGCGCTCGCAGCGCCCCCACCAGCCACCGCCTCGGCCACGCGCTTCCAGTGGGTCTTTCATATCGCCGGAGACTGTACTTTCCTGCGAAACACAACTCTGCGACTTCATCCATGACTTGCACACTAACCTTGAACCTTGAAATGAAAAAACTGACGCAGTTTTTTTTTTTTTCCAAAGCGTTCGGCCGTGTTTTTTTATCAACGCCTTCTTTCTAAGCTATCATCTTTTTGCCTCGACCAAATAACCGTTTGCATAGATTCGTGACTTTCTTTTTTCCCGTGTACAGGTCACGTCCATGATGATCATGAATCTTCCTTAATAAATGTATCTCCTGGTGTTCCCCTGGGGTTCGTACTTGGGCCCTTACTCTTTTTAATATTTATTAATGACATCCCCATTGGGATTTCTTCAAAAAACCGCTTTTTCGCCGACGACTGCGTCATCCATAACAAAGTAACTTGTGTGCAAAATAATAACCAGCTTCAGGAAGATCTAGAGAAAATTAACAGTTGGTGCAAAGAGTGGATTATGTCATTAAACAAGTATAAACGCAAACTAATCCACTTCACCAAGAAAAAAAAAACACTGTCATTTAATTACTTCTTGTACTCCGATCTGATTGAGACCGCTACTGTGTATAAATACCTTGGTGTAAGACTAACATCTGACCTTCCCTAAAATAACCACATTGAAGTCATTACTGCCGATTCATCTGGAACTCTTGGACTAAGCAGACGTAACTTAAAAAGGGCTCCACCCTTTGTTCGTAAGCTAACCTTGGACACGTACGTCAGACCAAAAATAGAATATGCTTCAACCATCTGGAATACCCATCGACTGTACCTCATCAATACCCTGTAGAGGCAGTTCAGAACAGAGCTGCTCGCTTCATTTCATCCACTTATGACTTTTTTTTTTCAGTGTCTCAGCGCTAAAAACTGAACTAACCATGTCCTCTTTGCAGCTTCGCAGAAAAGTCTCTCAGCTGTGCTTTATTCACAAAATCTACTACCACATTCCCGACCTCAAAACCACTTTGTTATTACCCCCCGACCGAACATCTTCTCGCCTCAACAACGTCTGCACCATCAAACACATTTCTGACTCTACTAACGCTTTCAATTGGTCATTCCTTTCTCAAGCCATCAGCCACTGGAACAGTCCCCCATCCTCCATTGTCACCATCTTGGACCCTGCTGATTTCTCCTCTGCAGTAAAACTACACCTTTCTTGGCCCATGTGATGGTGTGCGGGGCTAGGCAGATAGGTGAAAACCCTTACGCAGAGCGCCTGCCGGGCCAGACTTTTACGTAGTTCAACTACTTTACTCAAGGTACTGTAGTTTAATACCTTTTTGGGTAGTTTAGTAACTTTTAATTACATTTATATTCTAGTAATTCGTAGTTTACTTTAACTACTTTTCCGAGTGACTTCCACTCAAATTACAAATTACTTTCTAATTTTAGTGGTTGTTTTGCCTATCAACACAGAAAAGATGTCGGAAGGTCAGCTGATATTTGCAGAGGGGGAAGCATGCGGAGTAGAAAAGGGGGGGATGGGAAGGAAGAAAGTGATTTAGATAGTCCAAAAAACCCCAAAATTTTAACGAGCCCCCCCACTGCAACAACACTGCTACGAGGCGCGGGGAGCGAACAGACACGACGCAAGAGAGGTCGAGTAACTGTGGGATTAGCTCCGAATAGTGGCGTTTCTTTGTATTCCGAAGCTCAAGGAGACTTGACGCATTTGAAGAAAGGGCTTGTCCCCGCTTCTCTCCAATGTAGGAATTCTTGCCCACTACAGGAGGTGCACACACTGCTCCTTTTACGGTGCAGGCGATAGAACCCCTAACAACGACGCTCACGCCGGATGGGCTGCTCGTGTATCACTCGAAGCGCGTTAACCCACCCCCGCGCCTGCGTTCACGCCGCTTCGCGGTGACGGTGTGCGGCTGCTAACTACAAATCTATTAACCCACCTAGCCCCCCCACCCCCCGTACACGCCGCTTTGCGGCGTCCGGTCGGCAACCCAAGCCCCGCTGCCCCCCATGCACTTGCGTAAATAGAGTCGATACGATTTAGTTTAGCGATGTTTCGTCAACAACATTCGTTTTTTTAGTGTTAATGGTAAAAAAGAAATGTAAATATCGCCAAATGCCTCGACAAAACAAAATGTTCGAGAAAAAAAATAAAAAGAAGTAAGCCGGCCCACACCATAAATAGAACCCGGGTCTGACACGTATGAGGCAGACATCTCACCACTAAGTTACGCTACCTCTTCGGAAACTCGCATTGCATCCGCTGCCTATGTTGACGGCGGCAGCGCCTATCTCCAAGCAAGCAAGCAAAACTTTATTTTGTGTAAGGGCCTACGTCCTGGTCTGGACGGCCCGTCCGGCCCATGTCTTGCGGATGGATTCCGTTAGGTTACCGTGTAGCCTTGTTCGTGGGGCAAGGCTCCACAAACCAGCCAATCCGGCGAGCGTGAGCACCGTTGCTAGGGTTTGTATCGCCTGCGCGTTAAAAATATGCCCGCGCGGGTCGGGGGGCAGTGCCCTTGGTATTCCTTGGGCGCCGCCGGCCTGTGTCTGCTCTGCCCAGTGGCGGCCGTTTCAGGGGGGGGCAAAACGCATGCCTTGCCCCCCCACTCTGAGAACTGGGGGGGCAAGTGCCCCCCTTGCCCCCCCGGTTGGTACGCCCATGTCCGCCCCCAAACAATCCAGAAGAATGGCCTTGCGTAGCTCTGGTGGGCACTCAGCTGCTCCGGACGCTAGAAGGTAGACTGTAAAAGTCTGCTCCCACTCCTCCCATGGCAGGGACGGACGGCCGGGCGTCTGGAGGAACGGCGGCGGCGGAGCGAGGCCGGGGAAGCTCATGGCGGGGCGGGCGTAGCCGGACGGTACGGGATGCCGAAGGTAGCTTGGAACGGGCTACATCCTCGTCGCCAATGTGATGTTTTCGAAGGACGGACGGAAAACAACCTTTATTCTGCACGATACATCAAATATATACACAAAGGAAGGACGCGCCCCCTGGGGGTGAAAGAACACAAATGAACACCGAAACTGATAGCATCTTCGATCAACTCGCACCGGAATCGCCCTGAAACCAGCACAGTGCACAGCGCTCCTCGGTCGTGCAGCGCGATGCCGGTGCAACATCGAGGACAAACTGCGCCGCGCCGGTGCACCGCCACCGCGGCGAGCTCCACCTTGCGTCACTTCGCGTTTTGTTCGTTTATTTTGCGTAGGTCAGCGCACGGTGCCCGAGTGCTGTCAATTTCTTCTGTTTTTTTACTCGCGGATTTGACGGTCCCACAGAAATAAACATCGTGGACGTGATTGTCGATGGGGTCACGAAGCGGGTGACAATTCCACATGTATATGTTGGCCATCATTATTAGTTCAAGAAAACGAAACACCAGATAATAGCCGTACCTCGCTGTCATCGAAACGCCTCGCGCCGCTTTCCACGAAGTTCGTGCTTTTCGGGCGCTCCTTGCCACCGCAGCAATCGCCAGTAATCGCGGCGATGGTGAGAAGCTCGTCGTCTCGTCGTCAGAAGACCCGAGGAAATCATCTAGTGCAGCTGCGAGGCGTGTTCGTTTTTGCAAGATCGCCATCTCGATAGTCTGCGCGTCTGCTACTCCCGCTATCTTCTCGATTCCCGCTCCTGGCCGCAATGCCTGATGGGACTGCCCCCCGGCGCACCGCCGATTTTCTTGGTGCGCGTTGGGGCAACGAAAAGCCGCACCGGGAGGGTGCGCTTCGTTGATCGAGGATGTACAGTGCGCACCGGTGCACTTGATCGAAGATGAAGGGGCGCACCTCAGTGCCCCGGTGCGCACCGGTGCGGATGATCGAGGATGCTATGAATATAACAAAACCCAGGGTTACCAGATTGGGCTATTAATAGCCAAATTGGGCTACTTCTTTTTTTATTTGGCGTCAAAATGTGGCGGTTGGCTATGTGGATATTTTTGGGCTATTTCAAATCATGACGGAGAAAAATAATTCAACATGACAAACATTGAGACTGCGGGCAATATAAGGGGACACGAAGACACAGAGGTCTCTATTATTTATTTTTCTTGTGCTTGCTTTAGGGCAGAGAGATAAAAGACACTTTAGGATGGACACAAATCAACAATCCATTTTTTACGGATTCCTGCTTTCAAGGTTTTCTGTGAAGATGCGTAGGCATGACGTCAGGACCACGGCTTTGACCTAGATTCAGTTCTAATGGCATCGCTTCTGTATTCATTGTCGCTTATCTTATGCCTCCAAGTTCACACAAAGAAGGACCTTGCCCCTGCATCCTCCTCCCTGACCTTTCTTTTCATCACCCTACCATTTCCTAGGAAAGAAGTGGATTGGAAGGCTACATCTAGGTCAAAGCCGTGCAAGGGCAACTCTTCGATATTGATGAAACGAGTAATCATGCCGAATTACGCATCACCCGAATGCGCGGACTGGGAAACGAATGTGCTTCATGTACGTGCATGTGGCTTCGGAAGTGTTTTTCTGAATACTCTTGAACAGTCCTCGCTTTGCGAGAAGGACAGAATTGCGCTCTTGGAAGTATGTCGGAGGTTTGTGATTGCGTGTATCAAAAGTGTGATGAAACGCCTCCCTGCGAACATGCAGCTTCTCAACGATTTGTTGTTTCTCAAGCCTGGCAGCATCACACAGTTTTCTTTTGACAGTTTTTACAAAGCTTTTTTGCCTTTTATACAGACTTCGGTGATCTCGGCCATGGAGTCCGAGTACAGGCTTCTCCAGACGAATATCAGAGATCTGTCTGATGATTGTTTAGAGCTATTTTGGAAAAATGTAAGGGAGGCAAGAAACAGCCCTGGGGCAGCCATGTTCCCGTTGCTCTCTGCGCTTGGCACCGCGCTTTTGACACCACCCATATGTCAAATGCCGCCGTTGAGAGGGTGTTTAGTTAGGTGTCCCTCACGAAGTCGGACCTCAGAAACAGATTGTCCCATTCCACCCTGGAAAGCATCCTGTTTGTGAAGTTCGCATTCCTTGGGAAGAATGAGTGCTGCAAGGACTTCAAGCCCACAGAAGAATTTTTTGTGCGCTTCAACTCGCAACTGATGTATGAGGTCAGCCAGCCCTGCACGAGCGATTGTTAACTCTATGTGACTCTACAAACGTGTGTCAATACTTAAAAATGCCGATACTTTTTTGTGTGTGTTTTTCCAATAAAATGTTTCATATACATTTCAAGATGTTGCTGTTCTTGGAAGCTTCTTCTACACAATATATGCAGATGCAGTTCCGGCTCCAGTTCCTACTTGCGAGAGCATAATTTTGAATTTTGTGGACCCTGACACTCAGCTGGTTTTTGGCTACTTTTTGGCTATACAAATTTTTTGCATTTGGCTACTTTTGGGCTACACCGTTTGGCATTTTGGCGGTTTGAGCTAAACCTACCTGGCAACCCTGACAAAACCACGACCACTTCAAGAGGATTGCCCTTGAAATCCGGTAGTTACTAAAGATTTGCGCTGGTCACGTAGAGTGGGCTGAAATATAATGATATTTGATATTTACTTTATGAAAAGCCGCCTTAAAATTTCCTAAATCCATTATTAACTTCGAAACGCCACTGCACGCCCCATATCGCAAGTGTGCGCGGCTGGTCATATCATGACGACACAATAAGCATGGTAGCGTCAGAGTCGCGGGCGTTGAATTATTCCCGGCTTTGATCAACATGCTTGATGATGCGTACAAATATCATCGTCGACGGAGTCAGCTTCTCTCAATACCGTAAATCTTGTCTTTCACGCAAGGAGGTTGTTTTACTGAGACAGCAGTCAAGAGCTGTCGTGGCTCTCTTCGCATGAAGTAACGTCAGAGCTTTCGCTGTTGCCAACAAAAACGTCCAGTGTTTTGCGGGTGCAATTCCAGGAGCTAGGCTCTGTTTAAGATAGAATTACTTGTGCGGGGAGGATTCAAAATTCCGATATTGTGCGGAAGATATTCCTAAAAGCAATGGCAATATAATGTATTTGTTTTCTGAACCACACAATTTTACCGGAGGATCCCTTTAAATTTGCATGTCTGGTTACCAACAGCGGAGCGAGTCACGAGCATCGAATGGAGAGTTTTATTGAACCGTGTTTGCACATCCGAAACGGTACGACGGGCCTTCCGGTACGAACTGCGCATGCGCGAGTCTTCTACGGTAGCATATGTGGAGTTCGTACCGGAGGGCCCATCGCACCGTATCGGATGCGCAAAGATTGTTCCCTAAACCTTTCTAATGAGCGCTCCTAAGCTAATCCGGTTGCGGTTTCATCCGATGACAATCCCGCAGAACAGATCATGAAGCAATAGCATTAACATGCCATGCGATTATTTAGCTGGCTGTAACTAGAATGAAATTACATGTTCGTCTAATTTCCCGCACAGGGCGCAGACCGCAATCGTCTTAGCAATCCGCGGGACGCTCTCGGCAAATGGCAAAGCCGGAATAAAGTTTTTAGGCGATTTCATACGTCCAGCTCTCTACGCCGACTGCAGTGACGGCACTCTTTGCCCTCTCCAGGGAAAAAAAAAAAAAGAAAAGTCGCTGAATATTTTTTAGAAAGTATTCACTGGCGGCAATAGCTGTGTGCATGACTGCTGAGCGCGTGCTGATGGCGAGCTTCCACAGTTCTTTTGTAACGTGCAATTTGCACCCTCAAGATTGCCAGTCTTAGCAGCCCATTATTGTAAGCTCGTTTAGAGCATGCGCTCTAGACATCACCCACAAATAAGGCGCCCAGGGAATACTCCTTATTGTAGCCGACTTATGTTAGGATCATCGCTTTTGGGCTGTGGAAGGGAAAATCAACAGGTGGAAGCGCGGAATCTACGTCCCAAAGAGCGTCCGCACCCACGTTAATTCAATGGGGGATCTAATATGTACACTTGGCGAAACAATGTCCGAACTATTCCACTACCGTTATTCGTCGGCGCCAAGGCCAAGCGCAGCGCAGGCCAATCACAGCCGCCAAATTCCTTGCCGACGTTTTTGCCAAGGGTTCAGAATGAAACGTGATGTATCTAACCAGAGGTGTTCTCGAAGCTCACGCGTGGAAAGCGGCAGGACGCTTGCTGGCACGTGGCAAGTGCTCGATGGGTTTCAAAATTCCTTTCACTGTTTGTCTCGTAATGTGTATGTGCATTATTTGTTTTATGCGCTTTAATAGAAGGATGTAAGGCAAGACAGATCGTAGTGGAATGAAGAAGGCTCACACAGTGAACCAAGCAACGGTCGGCCAACGCGCATAAAAAATCCCCCCCCACAAAAAAAAAACACACACACAAAAAAACGTGGGTTTTTAACAACACAAACGACAGTCCCAGAACATTAAATAAAGAGCAACAGGGGGAAAATCATTGTCGAAGCTCATGACCCGTTGACTCATCGACAGGCAATACAGAAAGGTACACGGGAAAATGCACGGGTTGTACAAATAGGAATGGATTAGCTGTAGACGCTACGTTTAGCTACAGACGCTGCGATGAAGATCCCGGTATAATGACAATGTACCGGGATCTTCATTAATCCCGGCGCGGATTGAATTATATATGTAACTCTCGGCTCTCGATCACTGTTGCTTTTGAATTTGGGTTGCAAAAATGTGACGTCCAGCTTTGTGAAACGTATGTTTGGCTAAAGCCATATGTTTTGAAAGCAGAAGTTTGGGAAGTGATTTTACATGTTCCCTGTGATTTCTAAATCTCAATCGAAAAGGTGTGCTGGTTCGGCCCACGTACTGCTTACTGCAGGTGCCACATGCCAGGAGGTAAATCACATTACTTGTACCTCAGTTTAAGTTTCCGTGGATTATGTAGGTGAAATTGGATTTCGTACTCTGCGTACTTTAAGGTTTCACGTGTTGACACTCCTTACAATTTGTTCTTCCAGAAGAAAGACTGCTAGTGCTTTCAGTGTAAGTTATCTTATGCTTAACTATAGCGTCCCTAAGATTGCGTGAGCGTCTGTATAGACTACTGGGGGAACGGAAGGGATAATCTTT